AAAATATTAGCTAAAACAAGTATTAAATGTATTTTATATATTTATAAAAATATCAAAAGATTAAAAAATTTACAAATGTTTCTATAAACCAATATTGTCAAACTAAATTTGTACCTACACTGGCATGTGGTTGATGCCGTTATCTTCCCCTCATGCTTTCGTAGGCAATTACTGCTGATGTATTTAAACAACCCACCCCCCCCGGCCCCCCAAAAAAAATTAAAGGCAATTCATTTTGGTGTGAAAAGAATGTGTCAAGCAAGCAAGATAAAGATGTAACAGACGCTAACACTTGACAGTATGACCCTCGTAATTCTTTCTCATCTCAAAAAGTGGGGTTTTCGAGGAAAGAACTACTCTTGGTATATTTTTTTGGCAAAAGCCTATTGAACCCTTACCTTACTAATTTGAAAGTTTTAGCCCCTTACCTTATACTATTACATTTTTAACCTCTCACCTTACTAAATTTATAGGTTTTAATCTCTCACCTTATACTATAACACTTTTAGTCATTCACCTATTAAAATCAAAGAAAATAATCCTCATTTTGTAACATTTTGTTAGTTTTATTAATTGTTATAACTCAAAAAAAAAAATTTTTTTAAAAATGAATCTTCATTAATATTTTCAATTTTTACTTTCATTGTTAGGTTGGCAAACAAAAGGAAATTTCGCGAAAAATGGGAGAAGAAGAAAGAAGGGACTTAATTGAAGAAATAAAAGTTGAAGGGTGAAATGCATTAAAGTTTAACCCAAAGCCCATTTACACCTTAAACCCATTCCAACCCATCTCAAATGGCCCAAAGTAAGCCAATAACCCAAAATCCATTTAACCCAAACCCAAACCCAAAACCAAAACCAAAACCCAAACCCAAAAACCATATAAAAAAAAAAAATCAAAAATCAAAATCCAAAAAAAGGCCGAAGTCTTCTTCCTCAACCCACTTTCGGCTTTTTCCCTCTCAGCTCTCGAATCTTCCTCCAACAGCCAACGGTTTCATCCCCAAAACCAGCCGGCAGCCACATGCCGACCATCATGCCATCACCGCGCCCTACCCACCCTCTCACCGAGCCTGTGCCCCTACCCCCCTCTGCACGAACCAGCCATCACCCTCCTCTGCACGAACCAGCTCCCTCTTCCCTCTGCACCGTGCCTTCCTCTCCCAGATGTCTCCTCTGCGCCCAGATCTAGTGCAATGATGTACTCCTGCACCCCTCCTCTGCCGAGCCCAGATCTGCACTCATCACCCCCCTGCACACCGCGCCCCGCCCCAATCACACCCCCTGCACACCGCACCCTGCCTCCAATCCTACGCCTCACGCTACAGTCAACAGAGGATGGGACAGACGCCTGCAAAATGACTGTTCTGCGAGGTCAATTTTGGCCCCATTCGATCCACAGTAGGAAGAAAGAGGACAAATCGGAAGGTTAGGAAGAGGGGTTCTTTTTTTGTTTTTTTTTTTTATGGCTTGTGTGGGTATAAATAGAAGTCTTTAGATTTGGAATAGGGGGGTTTTTGTTTGTTTTTGGTCTGAATCTGGGTGGCCGGAGGTGGGAATAAGAGGAAGAGGATCTCGAATTTCCAGAGCTCATCAAAGGAGATTGTGCATTCTTGGGTTTATTTTCTTCCTGTCTTGGGTAAAAAAAAAAATCCCTTTAAGAATCTGCCATTTTATTTCTTTGTGATTTGTTGTTGAAGTCTATTTCTTGGGTTTAATATTAGATTTGTGTATGTTTGCTGGAAATGAATGAAAAATCAAGGAATGATGCAGCTAAAAAGAACTTTGCCGTGGGTGTTTTTTTTCTTATTTTTTGGGTTGATGTTTTTCTACATTTTTTAAGCTGTATGTGTTTACTGGGGAATGAATGAAAATCTTTCTTAGGTTTTTTTTGTGTTTGATGAAAATGTTTTCTTTTCTTTTTCTCTGTTCTGCGAAAATGTGTTTAT